GGGATCGATCCGGGCCCAGTTTGCACGGCAGCGAGGCAACGCGCCGACCACGCCGGCAGACGGCGCCCGGCCCGACCCAGGTGAGCACCGCCCGCGGGCGGCTCGGGGCACGTGACCCAGGTGAGCACCGCCGGCGGCCCGGGTCACGTGACCCAGGTGAGCACCGCCGGCAGCCAGGTCACATGAGCCTCTGCCATGTCACGGACGCAATGAGGGTCGAGTTATGAAGGCGCAGATGAACCTGGGATGTGGTCGCACCTGAGCTGTGGTCTGCTCTCTTGGAAATCGGCCAATCGCTCCCGGCAGTGTTTATGAGGGCGCCAAGCTAAGCTACCTTGTAACAGCCACGAGTGCACAGCAAGCAAGACGGCTTCACGCGTTGCCCAGGGTTTCGTTCTTTAGGCAAGTTGGCAGTTCGATTACCTCCGTCTCTGTGCGTTCGTTGCAGTCACCAGTGAAACTGGGGCGTGTTTGCGGGACGCGTGACTTGTGACGGGCGACAGTAGCCAAGGTGAAGCGTGCTTTATGCCGCTTTTAAGCCCGAAGTGTTTCCGGAAGCCTCGTCGTTACTAACGTGCGCCGGCGCGGTGCCTGTGTGTTGACGTTGGCAACGAAATCCCGAATCAGACATCTCAAGCAAGGGCACAGTAATGCCAGAAAGATTGGTATGAGGAAATTCTCAGGTAAAAATTGCCCACCCTTTTTAGGTTCATGTTCCCCTCAAAATCGGTCGCATTATGATATCCTTCCCTCACAGCCAAGGAAAGAAAAATAATCAGTTAACATCAGCTATGCGTTTTTTTTTTTTACCTCCTATGGTGAACAGGATCATGTGAGCGGCCAGCAGGTTCATACAAGTGTTCTACATGGCGACTGTGTTCAGCCAACACAAATCAAATTGCAGACTTGAACTCCTGGTGTCTCACCCGTGCATGGATACTTCGTGTTGGTCTAAACGCTGTCCCTGTCTTGTGCTGCTATAGGACATATTTAAGGCTCAATCTTGTGGTTCATGCGGCGGCATCACCTTCAGCTGGGCCCACCTGCTTGCGTTGCCTGGACGGCTGCGTTTCTTGACTGGCATCATTTGGGTGTATATAATGCCTCTCCTGAGCCCTCGCATTGTCGCAGGGGGATTCTTCCGGTTGGGAAAGCTCGAGGTAAATCATGGCCTGCCCGGGGCGCTTGCAGCAGCGGCGTCCGACGTCATCAGCGACTCATTCCCATTGAAGAATGCATTACACGCCACTCCGTTCAGTGCTCTGCGGCATCGCCGTAGTGCACCGCCATGTTTTGTAGTTCTTGTCATGACACGAGCGACCGTAGTTTTGGGGGAAAGCGGAAAATGCACTGAATGCGGAACACGCGAGAACAGACTTTGATTCGGCGTTCAGCTCGCTGTATTATATAGGGCCTGTACAAAGGTGCACGGTTTCCCCCTGCTGACCCGCTAACACGTGCAGTTTGCACGGTATGTGATAACATGTCCATCCTCATGACACGGGTGCGATCAGCTGCCGGCGCCGCGGGCAGTGCGCCAGCGTTGTCTGGTGCCGTCGCATTCCGGCCAGATGGTCCGGATTTGGTTGGTCGTGTTGCTGATTCTCGCTCCACTCGAGGCCAGCCACAAGACCGCTGCTCGCGCTTCACTCCGCCTGCGGTCTTACAACCACGCGCAATGCGTTTAAGAGAGTGATCCACATTCGTTTAGGGTTTCGAACTAAAATGGCCACCCTGAGGATCATTCGGTGTAGTTTACAGCCCTGCCTTTCATAAGCCCTAAACCCCTCTGGTTTCTGTGCTATATGCCCGCGCAGATGTGCGGAGGATTTTGGGAGACTATTCCAAGCTCACCCAGGCATCCATGACGCCATAATAACGCCATTCGAATCTTGCGATTTCATTGCCCATGCGGTGACCAAGGACCAAGAAATAATGTTTTCCATAGCAGTATTTTCATCTTACAAGTATACCAATGGTTATAAGTGAGCTTGTTTCATCATATCTGATGTTTGCTTCATTATATTCAAATGTGAAACATCCCCTTTATAGGATGTTATTGGCATGCTTTCAAGTAGAAAAGTCTGCGGTAGATAACACAATTTTTAGGTGTAGTTAATATGCTCCTCGATGCGTCATTGCCTGATTACATCATCGTACCTTGCACAACATTGATTGAGAGCCAATTGACAGTCATGATAGCTGGAAATCGTGCTCACGGACGCCAGATATGAGTGACTCGACTATTACTTTTTTTCTCAGCCCTGATTGCCGCATGGATTATGGAATAACAGGATTTGAATGACGTCATTACGTCATAAATGCCAAGGTGAACTTAAAATACTCCCCTCGAAAAAGTTTCCCATCTTCGCGGGCGTTTAGCTCGGAAACTAGAGGGGTTTAGGTCTTAAGAAGGGCAGAGCTGTGGACTGTACCGGATGATCTTTAAGATGGCCATTTCAGTTAAAAAACCCATAGAAATGTGGAACACTCTCTTCGATATTCATCACATCATGGCGCGGATGATGTCAAGCTACTGCACGGCGCTTCTTTTCATTGCTGATGAAACACCGCCCCACAAAAAAGTCGCACTGAATCAGCGGTAAACGCTGTTGATCGGGCCACGTAACGTCAGTCCGTAGCCCCGGAAAGCTGGCCCCCAGTTAGCGCATCCGAGGCCATCGTACTTTTTGTTATGAATTGAGACCGCGGGGCAAACTTACTGATGCATGGTGTTCATTGTTTCATTGCTATGGTTTTAGATTCAGAGTTATCAGCGGTTCGGAAAACGCTTATAGAAATAGAAAAAACTCCGTCATTTTCTAGTGCGGCGAGCGGTGAGAGGAGGTCGATCGAGGTGACGCGGATAATGTACACCGGCCCAAAACCAGAGCTCCACAGTCCGCCGCGCTCGGCTCCCGCACCAGGTGGACTGTCTGGCTGCACAAGGTGGTCGCTGTACAGTCGTGGTCAGTCGTGATCATTTTTTCGTTAGTCATTCGCCTCGAGATGACTTCGCGAGACGGAAGGCAAAGCAGCGCCACTCGATGTGTCGCAGCCCGATGTCTCCCGGGCTTGGATCGTGAAAACTTGACTGAGCCGTGGGGGGAGGGGAGGGGTAGAAGCGGCGGCTCTGAGCGGGGCCGCGTGGTAACGGCGACCGGCCGCGGTCGGACGTCCGCCGATATAGTACCGCGCATCCGGTTTCTACCCCCCCCCCCCCCCCTCCCCCACGGAGACGGATGTCTGCCACTGGCCACAGAGCCATGAGGCAAGTTCGGAAATTTTAACGTTAAATTACGTCAACATCCGGGCACGTCAGAATGAACTAATGGGGAAAAATGCTCTGGCGTCCTTTGTTAAATTACCTGTCGTGTTTTACCATTATCTAAGCTCATATCACTTGTCTGCGGAAGCTGATAACAAATCGCTAGCAGGCGAAGAAAAGTGATGCAGATGTTGGCATTAGTTGTGCTAGAGAATTTAAAGTTCTGCTACAGTTCCAATGCTCAGAGCGAAGCAAGAACCAGGCTCCGGAAAAGTGTATGTTCGGTATCAGTATATTCCGAAAACGGAAATATGCTGCTAAAAGAACATGTGTGGTTCATTTGAAAATAACATGGCGTAACTTGCGATGTATGCAGCCACAAAGTGTTTTTTGCAAATGCAAAAACGAAGCAAATTTTCGATACATTTACGCCCAAATTCCCGCACGGCCTGCTTCTGAAAGAACAAGCAAATAACAGCCAGTTCTTTGCATCTCGAGAATGGCCTAAACGCTGTGTTGGCGGCGTGTGGTGGTTTCTGGTCCGGACCAGTGGCGAGCCGGGCTGCCCCGGGGCCCGCCAGGCTGTGCTGGTGGCGTGTGGCGGTTCTTGGTCCGGACCAGTGGCGGGCCGGGCTGCCCCACGACCCGCCAGGCTGTGCTGGCGGCGTGTGGCGGCTCCTGGCCCGGACCAGTGGCGAGCCGGACTGCGTCTCCACTACGTGACCCCCGCGGCCCGCCAGACAAGTCCAGACACACCTTGGATGCATCATCGAGGGCTGCAAAATCGAACGGCCTCTGATCGATGGGGCACCGGGGAACTTACTGTTCCAGAAACCATCTGGTTAAGCTCATCAGGCCCGAAAAGAATCCTCTGACCGCCGACCCGTATTAAAAGATCGGCCCCTTCCAGATCCACACGTCGTTGAGCAGCTATTTAATGAGAGTTACTAGCAGGTTGTGCGATGCCCTTTATGCGAATGGTAAGCAATTAGCCTGATGCATTTTTGTATTAATTTTTTGAAAATTGTGAAACAGATTTTATGTAAAATTTTGTGTGCCGTCTGCCCGGGTCCACCCCTAATATTATCATTGATGACGTTTTTCCACCTGGGTCGGTTTTGCAATCTAACGGCTTTATGAGAACGTCGCTGGAAGTGCATGTAGGTATGGATGGATGTCACGCACGTGGGCGGGTGTGCGCGCGTTAGGTGGAGGTGCAAGTGAAGTGCCAACCTGCTGGTTCATTGTTTTCGTCTACCTCTCGCCAGTCTTACCTGTCTCGCAAACTTTGTGTCGTTTACCACTCTGTTGCTCGTCTCCTTCAGTTGTGTAGTCACTGGGGCCTACTGCGTAGTATGACGTTGGGGGCGGGGGGAGGGGGGGGGGGTGCAGCAAGGCGTTATGTTGGTGAGAGTGGGCTACTGCGAAGTACGCGACCCCAATGCGCCAAATGGGATTTCGTGTTGCCTGGTATTAGTTTGTCGCTCCCAACACCACTACCCCTGCTATGTCGGTCTGTCTATCCCTCCTCGAGGAACATCGTAATGTTTTGTATCAGTCGCGATAACGCGGACGTTCCTGATAATCAACAGTGTAATACCTGACATCAGGGATTCTCGTCAGGTGCACGGCACGCGTGCCATGTGTGTGCGCGCGCTGTCAGGTGTGGTGGCGTCCGAGCAGCTGTGTGCCGCTGTCCGGCGCTGACGGCGAGCGTGCGCTGTGTCGGCAGGCAGGCGGCGCCGGCGCACCATGCGCGCCCAGCGAGCTCCGCGCGCCGCCGTCAGCTGAGAGCGGCACGTCGTGCGCCACCGGCGCTCCGCCACCATGGTGTTCGGCATGCGAACCAAGACGGCCGTGGCCGGTGAGTGGTGTCACCTGCGACGGCCCCAGCTGGCCCCAGCTGGCCGCGGGCTGGGAAGGTCCGCGACGAGGCACTTATTCTGGCAGGGACATGCGTGGTATGATCTCCGCGGACGGGACGGGACCGGACCACATGATGCCAGATCGGGCTGCATTGGACCGGACCAGACCAGATCAAATCGCAAGTCAGATCGGACTAGACCAGATCAGATCAGGCTCGGCCTGACTTGACTCTATGTTTGCCGGCAAAGTCATCTCCAGTGATCGCTGGAAAGTGAGAGTCATTCCTCACCTGATATCCTGGCGTTAATAACCGCCAGGCTCGGGTGGCGACTGACTTGACCTGTCACGAGCTGACCTGCTCTATGCCTCGGGTGTGGCGCGACACGCGGGGTCCCCACGAGGCTGCGTTGTGTGCCCCTCACCACGCCTGTCCCGCGTGCCGCCGCCAACAATGGCCCGTCCGACGTCCATAGATGCTCGACAAAGCTGGTATTCACCGGCAGCGACGGTGCTCCGTATTGGTATTGCGTCGTCCGGCCTACAACTTTTATGGACAGTGCCACAGTAAGGCCTCGCGCCGTCCTGCACGCGACACGGCCTGGTGTCTCTGACGTCAATGGCGCACCTGACGTCACTGGCGTACCTGACGTCCCGAGACTGCGGCTCGCCGCCGTCACCCCGGCACGGGCGGCAGCCGATGGGCCTGACGTGTCTCTGTGGTGACGATCGGCGTGACCGGCCGGCCGCCGGGCGGGGACGCGGCCCTGGCCACGGCGCTGCTACCTCGCGTGTCTCTGGCCCACTTGTTGCGCTAGTCGTCACAGATCTCCGTGGCTGGCCCCGGTGGCTGGTAGTGGCTGGGCCCGGTGGCTGGCCCCGGTGGCTGGCCCCGGTAGCTGGCCGCGGTGGCTGGTAGTGACTGGGCCCGGTGACTGGCCCCGGTAGCTGGCCCCAGTAGCTGGTAGCGGCTGGGCCCGGTGGCGGGCCCCGGTGACTGGCCCCTGTAGCTGGTAGTGGCTGGGCTGCGCAGGCAGTGGCGGTGCATGGACCTGGGACAGTGGCGGAGGCCTGTTGCTTATGCTTACCTGATCTGATCGTCCCGCTGCCCCTCATAGACTGTTTATTCTTGGAACCATTCTTGTCATGTATATGTGCTTCCACTGTTATGTCTCATCCTCTTCTCGTTTTCTGCTTCACTCACTCTGCTAATGCTGATATTTGTCTACTTTTCGGATGCTTTTTCTGACAGTTGTTATGTCTTTTATTTTCTTCTTCGCCGCTTTTTCTCCGTTTGCCCTACTTCAGTGTGGCATGTTTCTCCTCTCCTTTATCTTATCTCCTCTCTTCCGTATTTCCTTCAGTTCCGTTAAAGGAAATGCTCCACATTTGAAGATCTTGAACCAAACATCATCACATATGATGAAATAACCTCACTTATAAGTATGTGTAAACTTTAAAGCGGAAAAGACAGCTCTCGACAACACAACTTCTCCATTTAGTAAATATGCTCCTCAATACGTCATTGTTTGATTGTGTCATCGCACGCTGCACAACATTGACTGAGAGCCAATTGACGGCCGTTATATCTGGAAATGGTTGTCAGGAACGCCAGATGTCACCGAATCGACAATTATATTGTTGCTAGCCTGGATTGCCGCATGACCAGTGGAATGACAGGATTTGAATGACGTTGTTATAGCGTCATGGATGCGTCGGTGACCTCGAAATAGTCCGCACAAAATAGTCCGCATGTCTTCGCGGGCGTATGGCTCAGAAAGTAGAGGGGTTTTGACCTTAAGGGCAGGGCTGTGAACTGCACCAAATGATCTTCAAGATGGCTATTTCAGTTCAAAACTCCGTACAAATGTGGAATGCTCTCTTATCTCTTCCCATCTTTCGTTTTTCTTTACGCTTCTTGCTATCTTCCCATCCATTTCTTACTGCCCTGCTTTCTGTGGGCGTTTCAGATTTGCTCACTAGCTGTGCAATTGCTGTCCTTTTCTCTCTGGCCCCGTTGGAAAATGGTGGCCAGCATCAGTCGCGCTCGGACACCCTGGTGCCCGTTTCGGCGCTTGCTGCTTTTCAAAATCAGCTGTGCCGGAAGCTCATCTACAATGATCTCCGATAAATTACGGCCCCGAGCCTGGCTTGGTAGCGATGACTATCTCATGATGCCGAGTTACGGATGTCCGTCACTGGGTGCCGGCCGTGACGCTCAGGCACACGCCCCTTACCGAAGTTATGAGAGACATCGATTGTATACTTGCGGTAGCATCGATACACGTCCTGCCAGTTAAGAGCAGGCGATTGCCTATCCGGACCGGTGTTGCTGGCCAGATACCGACGCCAGGGGCTGCCGGTCAGGTACAGACGCCCACGTCGGGGGCTGCCGGCCAGGTACAGACGCCCACGTCAGGGGCTGCCGGCCAGGTACAGACGCCCACGTCGGGGGCTGCCGGCCAGGTACAGACGCGCACGTCAGGGGCTGCCGGTCAGGTACAGACGCCCACGTCGGGGGCGGTCGGCCAGGTACAGACGCCCACGTCGGGGGCGGTCGGCCAGGTACAGACGCCCACGTCGGGGGCGGTCGGCCAGGTACAGACGCCCACGTCGGGGGCTGCCGGTCAGGTACAGACGCCCACGTCGGGAGCGGTCGGCCAGGTACAGACGCCCACGTCGGGGGCGGTCGGCCAGGTACAGACGCCCACGTCGGGAGCTGCCGGTCAGGTACAGACGCCCACGTCGGGGACGGTCGGTCAGGTACAGACGCCCACGTTAGGGGCGGTCGGCCAGGTACAGACGCCCACGTCGGGGGCGGTTGGTCAGGTACAGACGCCCACGTCGGGGGCTGCCGGTCAGGTACAGACGCCCACGTCGGGGGCGGTCGGCCAGGTACAGACGCCCACGTCGGGGGCTGCCGGTCAGGTACAGACGCCCACGTCGGGAGCGGTCGGCCAGGTACAGACGCCCACGTCGGGGGCTGCCGGTCAGGTACAGACGCCCACGTCGGGGGCGGTCGGCCAGGTACAGACGCCCACGTCGGGGGCTGCCGGTCAGGTACAGACGCGCACGTCAGGGGCTGCCGGTCAGGTACAGACGCCCACGTCGGGGGCTGCCGGTCAGGTACAGACGCCCACGTCGGGGGCTGCCGGTCAGGTACAGACGCCCACGTCGGGGGCGGTCGGCCAGGTACAGGCGCTGGTGCTGGGGGCCGACCGGCGCCCCCTGGAGAGTCCGGTCTCCCCTCCTCCCAGGAGAGCCTCGGTGCGGCCGGCCGCCACGACGAGAGATCGATGCCGTTGTAAATACTGTCTACCGCTGTTGCCGTTCACCTGGCACTCCGCCGCACAGCGGTCGAGCGGCCGACGGCGACCGGCCAATAGCATGAGTTCTCTCCTGGTTTGTGAATATCGAGATTTTTCATGGCACTGAGAGCAAATTTGGATGCCGTTGCCGTGCTAATTTCTCATAAACCTTATGTCTGTGAGGCTGTTGGAACACTTGGATTCTAGAATCTTGCAAATGTTTGCAAGTCAAAAAGGGCAGTCAAAAGAGTTGTGACAGGTTGTTTTGTCTGTTTATAGCTTGCGAGAGAAAGCGTTTGCACCAGGGCGACGTAAGCAAGCAAAATGGTGGTAGCCAAGATGACGTAAGCACAGGAGATCATTTGTTTTAGTCGCCGTCTCTCCAGAAAGATTCGGCGGATTTCTATGGAGGTGAATAAATTAATAATAACAGCTGACTGCTGCCAAAAGAAATAAGCTGTTTGCAAGCCACTAAACGCCACGTTGGAAGATGGCTATCACATAGCGACCGAGGTAGCGCGCGGCCAATGTTGCTAGTTTCGTCAGTACCCGTCCCCACGGCAATACCATCGTCTCGCTCGCTTGCTCGGTTCCTGTCACTCTGATATTGTTCACTGGGGTCACGAGTCACTATGAGGTACAACGTTACACAGTCTGCCCTGATTACCAGATCTGCTCTCAAGCTGATTACCGCCTTACGGAAAATAGTCATCGAATGTGCTTCCCTCACACTCCTCCAGAGCCTGATCTAGTTTTGGCTTTGAGTTTGGCCATATATAAAAACTTCAGATCTAGTTTGAATGGATGACGTTTGTTCACATCACGTCCGCAATGCACATTGGAAGCCAAAACCTTGTTCGACCCCAAAGGGCCAAAGTCACAAGAATGTGGAGTGCCTTCGTGAGCGTACGAATTTGATGAACCACGAAACATGCCATCTACTTAGAACCGCTATACTGGACCATTACGGAAATTTAAGACGGTTCCTCAACGACCTGCCACAGTTAATGTTTCCGGCGCCAGAGGATACGTGGTCTTTGCAGCACCACCGCCTTTGCATCACGCCAGGTGGAAATGACGTCAGCCTTTGCATCACGCCAGGTGGCGGTGACGCCAGCCGTCTTCAAGTGTAACCTACGTCATGGCAGCGATGTGGCCGCGCTGTACGGTGACGCGCATGAAACAGCTGGCCACGTATCCCGGTGAAGCCGATAAAACATATAATTTTGGAGTTAGTCCATTGCGTATCCAAACGTGTGCTGTTTTATTACCACAACAAATTGCGAAGTGAAAACTAGAATGCCGCGACGTTCATTTTCTGTCATACGAATAAAAACGCATATTTTGCGATAACTTGAAGCGAAAGTTTTCTTTTTAGATGCAGCCGGAATTATCTGGTGCCATATTTCAACGTTATAGTTGTTTCGGTATTCCTCGCAAGGTAGCTTGCATCCGTCCAAAACTCTCAACTTAACTTCTACTGTCGCATTAACCAAGTGGATTTGAGATAACGGACACGACGTTGCAAATAGCCCATTCAGTTGCGCATTAATTTGTAGTTTTACAGTTTCATATCTAAAGTTGCCATTGTGGCTTTCGGCCATCCGCAAGCTGGCGTTATCCCTCTGTGCGCCGTTGCGCTCCGCTGCTATCAGCGCGTCGTCATTCGGCTGGGCGCCGGCGACGCGAGAGC